GGGGGGGGGGGGGGGGGGGGGAATCCGACAATGTAGATGATTAAAATAATGGAGGGAGTCGGACGCAAAGTGCACAGGAGCAGAGCACAGGATCGCCACGTGACTTGTATAGATTAGTCTTATGGCTGATAAGTGACTTGTAGAGATCATTACAGAGAGGATTAAGGCCGGGAAACCAAAGGACAAGGACAATTGTAGAAGTTACACAGAAGCACAACACACAACATAGAAACCAAGAAAAGACTTGAGGGGAGGGCTCATGGAGGAAACCCAAGGATCGGCACGGCGCTTGGCAGCAGCAATGAAATTTTGAGAAATACAGCCAGAGATGGCAAAGAGACAAGTTACAGGAACACAACACAAGACTGTATTTAGGGAAACAAACCAAATTCCTATTTTGCTTACATCCCCCCAAAATCTGGATTAATCCATGCAGCTTGGTGGAGGTGTAGCTTAACTGAAACCTGACCTATTTGCAACTTATTCTTATCAACTAAAAAAAAGAGAAAGGTATTAGAAAGATGATAAACAAGCAGCAGAGGCCCAAATGATGGAGGATGTGCAGAGCAGATATCACTTCTCCAGAAATGCTGGCCCTACGTGTCCTTTAGGGTTCACCAAGAAAGGCTGGGGAAAGGCACTGGAATCTCACAGGGCACATGACATGCTGGAGAGCAAGGGATTGATGGCTGTGAATAACCCATTTATTAATTTTAATTCAGGCAATCACAGATGGACCGATGCTCATTAGGGAATGAGAACATAAGTAATTCGGTTAGAACATTTTCACACAAAAAGTATTTGAAATTAGAATATGGAACAAACTGCCAAAGGCAGAGAGGCACCGGGTAGTGTAAATCAATGCTTGGGAGTATCAGACACTGTTTGTGAACGGGCGAGAAAGGAGGGGGCCGCCATCAGAAAGACTTTTGCAGTTGAGATATTTCATGGGTACATAAAGACAGACTTTGAAGGCCAAAACACACCATATGTTAGACTTCTGGACTTTAACGTTCCCACATACAATTTTCTCTCTCTCGCTGCTGCTCAGCAGAGTACAGCCAAATTTAAATTACTATTATTAAATACAATTAGCATTACAGAACTGATTCTGTACTGTATTTTGAAAAATTCATTTGCCCCTTTTACGAAAACCAAAGCATTTCAAATGCTTGCATTTCTGTGAAATAACAGGATGGATTTGTTTTCCTATTACAGTTTTTTCACATTTTAATGAATGGCATTTGTACTTATAATCTCCCTAAGTATTATAAAAGACATGGTTTATTCACTCCATACCAGTTATACAGTGATTGAAATATAAAGCAGAATTGAAACAGAATCTTCCAAGGAGATCAGAGACTTTCTGATGGAAGCAGTCTGTAAATCACAGGAGCTTTCACACCTTTTTTTTCTCCCCCAAATTCAGAATCAGAATTCCAAACAATCCCACTAAGCAGAAAGATTTTCTTTATGTTTTAGGCGTTAAAATAAAAAAAAATCCAATCAATCTGTCTGGTTTGAAGTTCTATTCAAAATGAGCACCTCAAATGTTTTATATCTTGAAATAAAATTTAGAAAAAACACCATGACAACTTTAATTGGAATTAAAAAAAAGAAAAAGTATGCCAGCTTCCAGCTGTATAAGGAAATGTGGGATGAAAAAGAAATCAAAAATAGCAAAATATAAATGAAGTCCAGAAACAGAGGAAACAGAGCACTTACATGGAAGTAAGTATTTGGAAGTTCACTGTAAGTTTTTCAAATCAAAGTAAAATTGGTTCAGGAGCCAACAAGGATGAGCTGCAGTCAGCTCACATTAAAACAGTTGAACTACATTATAAAACTCTTGCTGAACATTTTTATTTGACTCTAAAAACTTCAGGGACCCTGAAAGAAGTCAACTTATAATTACACTAGCATAGTCTTGACATGAGCTTAGCTCCAAATCTTAATTTATCTAAACCAGGCCCCATTATGTCTTCTCTGACTAGAAAGAAACAACAGTGACCTCTGTACTCCCCACCACCCCCATAAACATATGTTCACTTTTAAGTTTTGGCATACTATTTGTCTTGATAATACCACTGGCGCTATACTGAGATAACAGAAATGAGACACTAGGAATCCTCCCTCCTTAGCAAACTCTTCATCTTCAAAATTATCACCGGAGCTATATGGAGGGAACCGCAGCGACACACTGGTTTGAGAGCAGCCCTCCCTTTATCCACCTTATTTTTTCAGGTCAAGTGCTTTCAAGAGTTGTTGCTCAGGAGACCAAGTTCACCCCAGAGGCTGACTGACCCGCTTCCCCTCCATAACCACCTCTCCCCAACCTGCCCCTGCAGACCTCCTTGGCCTGCTCCCATCCTTCACTGCCACAGCGACAGACAGCTGGTTGCCCAGTGTCACTGGCATGATACTCCAGTAGCACAGACTGCCTATTTCAGAAATGCTTGGCCACAGTCTAGTATCTACTACACCCAGCTAAAATCAAAATACTGTCAATAAAATCAGCAGTTTTCTCTCCACATATAGATAAGCACCATAGATCTGGCCACCTATGTCAGGGAAGATGCTGAATGTAGTTTTATCTGCATATTGCCTCCTTCTGTTTCAGCTATGCCCAGCCAAGTTCAAAAAGAGAAAAGCTAAGTCTGTGGCTTTATTTTGGAATCTGTCACTCTATGCACTAAGAAATTTTGGCATTAATTGAAGTCTGATGTCTACTGCCCTACAAATCACCTGGATTCTCTATTCAGGTTTGTGGAAGAGGGATGCTCCTCTGTGCTGTACTGGCACACGGTATTGTCTCATCGACTGCAGTCAGACTGAAGGCTGCACAATGGTGTTTCTGAACTTAAAAATGAAATGGGAAGATAAAGCTCTTTGCAAGGAAGCTGAGACAGCCAGATGCCGAGGCATTCTGCATGGACACTTAAATTCTCTGAACATACAGATATCAGCAGCACATTAACACATTTGCAGACCATGACACCAGCACATGGCCACAGCGTGCTGCTCCTGACAGATCAACTTGGATCATTCAGCACTGCTGGGTTTTTCTCTGGTTTTTAGACAATTTGGCATCCCAAAGACAACTCCTTACTGAAGGGATCACACTGCTTTCTGTGCCTGGGTGGCATTACCAAAGCATTGATGATTTATCTGCAGAACAATTAACTATGTACCCAGTGTCTCAAACACAAGCATTCCCACAACTATGCTAAATATGAATTCTGTAGTCCTAACTCTTCTGCTTATCCTCACTGTTTTTCAGTTGTAATTCTCACTCTCATTAGCCACCTTAACATTAATGTCTTTTACTGTTCTGCACCCAATCTGGAACTAACTTACCAAGCAAAAATAAGTGACTTAAACCAGAAGTTATTTTTCTGTTCTGATTTTTAATAAATGGATGCCTTAACGAGACACCCATTTCTCTTCATTTGCAAAGCTCCCTTACACATCTTTTC